CCCTCCCTTCCCCCAAAGATGTCCACATCCTAATCCCTACGAGTATGTAATGTCACCTGGCAAAGGGGAAGTGATGTTGCATATAGTTGCTAATTAAAGATTGTTAATCAGCTGACCTTAAAATAGAGCGATTATTTTGGATTAACCAATTGTGCCCAATGTAATCACGAGAGTCCTTGAAAGTGGATGAAAGAGGCAGAAGGGAAGATCAGGTGATATGATGTGAGAGAGACTCAGCCCAGCATTGCTAGCTTTGAAGATGGAAGAGGACTAGGAGCGTGGAAGGTTAGAGATGGCCAAGAAATGGCTCCCCTAGAGCCCCCCAAAAGGAGCGCAGCCCTGCCGACACCTTGATTTCAGTGCAAGGAGATCTGCTGGAGGTTGGGCTTTTGCCTTCCAGAACTGTAAGGCAATGAAATCTGTGTTGTTTAAGCCCCTATGTGTGTGGTAATTCACTGTAGCAGCCACAAGAAATGAATACAGTTCCCATTCTCAAGCAAGGTAAAAGCCAAATGGCGTGTCCCCTGTAACCTCTGCAGCCTCATCTGCCACTTTTTATCTCATTCACTCTTTTTAAAAGATAATGTATGTATGTGTGTGTGTATTTACTTATTGTTGACACTATGACAGGTGTACTCTATTTCCTCCCACTTTGCCCACCTCCATCCAGCCCCTCCCCTTCCCCGGCCTTGACCACACTGTTGTCTGTGTCCATGGGGCATTCATATGTTTCATATATGTTCTTTGGCTAATCCCTCCACCTCCTTCACTCTTCAGCGACACTGGCCTCTTGCTCCCACCCCACAGCTCTGTGGAATGAATGCATGATTTTGAAGCTTCATTTTCCAGAAGAAGGAGAGGAGACGTGACTTGCCATGGTCCCCAGCAAGGACTTGAACCCAGGACTCTTGCCCAGTTACCACTAGGCTATTACTTCTCTTGCACTTAGCTTTCACTCCAGCTTCTTCCCTCAGAAGGTCTTGTGATTAAATCTCTCTTGGCCACCTAGCAAAGTGTTTAAATTCCCTTCCCATGAGGGAATCTTTACCTTGACTGTAATATTCTTTTCCAGAAGAGCAGCTGATTTCTTTCTGTGTGAAATTCAGTGAAGGAAACAGTTCTTTTACAAAACAGAGGAAGAAATTTCCAGAGCCTCAGATTGTACTGACCAAGACAAGCAAATTTCTTAGGAGAAAAGATGGGCCTGGCTTTCCTTCAGCCAAGGAGGGTTTACTGTGTGGACTTCTATTTATACCCTGGGCCGTAGAGTGAGCCACATGGAAACCTGGACACAGTTCTAAGTATTGTTGGCAATATCAGTCTGAGTACAAACAACCCTCCCTTTTCGCTGACCTGGCATTTCTATTTCCTAACGAGAAGGTTTGATTTGTAAGCCACTCAGCGGAGGGCTCCTGCTGGACGTTTGTGCTGAGTCACTTTAAAGCTGATCAGCCTCCCTGTGTCCAGCTGAAAGGTGTTGCTGGCTGTTCTAACACTGATCTCTGGTTCAGTCACCTCTGGTGACAACAGCAGAGGAGGCTTTCCATACCAAGCTTGTGGATACCAGCCTGGCAGATATAAGCAGGCCCACTGTGTTGTTTAGATTTTTTTTTTTTTTTTGTCTGCCTAGCATTACCTTTCTTTTGGAAACTTCCCCTTCTAGGTTGTACTCTCAGGGTTCTCACTTCCAGGCCCCACCCCCTGGCATTAAGGATAGGCATGTGATCCATGTCTGGCCAGCTTATAATACCCAATCCCTTCCAGCTCTGATTTTTCTAGAGAGCGCGGACATGGGAGTCAAGCAGGGCCCGTCAGAATCCAAACCCAAGAAGAAAGAAGGATCTACAGACTCTGGGAAGCAGACTCTCTCCTTCTGCCGCAGTGGCTAACCTTGGGAGAACATGATTCTGGAGGTGCCCAGCGGAAAAAATGCTTGTTTGTGCAGGAAGCTAGGCGAAGTCAAAGAGGAAAAGTGAATGAAGAGATGGTTCTTAGGAGGGCGCGTCCCTGATTCAAGTGCTGCAGGCTCCGTTTCCTGTTGTTCTTGCATTCTCTGAGCCTCCCCACTGTCTGTCCTAGCGGTGTGAACCGATACTTTCCCTTCCTGCTGCGGAGAAGGCTTAGACTGTGTTTCTGTCACTTGCTCCCAAAGGAGTCTGGCTAATACCAGGGGCTTATGTAGGGAGAAACTGATAGGGGCCCCATCTCCCTAATCTCCAGCGGAGATTAATGCCCGTGTCCTCAAATGCATTTTTGGAGAGGATGGCCTGGAACATCCCAAAATGTAAGAGTATGCTTGGCTCCTGATTGTTCCTCATGAAGACTAGAGCCTATTATTTCCTATCCCCTTCCCTCTTAAAACACTTTGATGGCTTCCCACAGAGGTGAGTATAAAGAGCACAGTCCTTAGCAGGCCTGCAAAGCCTGACCTCCATCGTATGGATCAGGGGCCTGCAGTTTTGTTTTGTTTTTTTTCTGTAAAGGTCAGAGAGTAAATATTTTAGGCTTTGTGGGTCATAGGGTCTCTCTTAACTACTCAACTCTGCTATTGTAGACAAAGGCAGCCATAGGCAGTAAGTACCCAAATGAGTGTGGCTATGCTCCAATAAAAGTTTATTCAGGAAAATAGGCAGTGGGCCATCATTTACCCCCTTCCAGGTCTGGAAGGTCTGGAACCTTCCCCTCCATGCGTATATCCAGCCTCAGTGGACTCTGGTCAGAGTCTTCATGCTCCACCCCATAGGCTCCCTCCCCTCACAGGGCTCAGCCTGGTATAGTCTCCTGAACCCTTGTATGCTTAACTGCTGTTACCACCCAGATCACTGCTCAGATGTTGCTTTCTCAGGCAACTTCCCTGATATCCTGAGACTGCGCCAGATTCCCCTGGTATGCTTTCCTGAGGCATACCATCTCTCTGTCATGTTATTTGTGTTGTAGTTGTAATTTTTCAGTATTTCGTGTTGATTTTCTGTCTCCCTGCTAGGTAATAATTTCCATATGTACAAGGCCCTGTCTGTTTTGTTCAATACCTAGTATAGTGCTTAGTGCATTGTAGTAACATAACATATATTTACTAAAAGAAAAGGAGGGGGGAAGGGAGGGAGGATGGGAGAAGAGGAGAGAGCAGGAAAGACGGAAGGAGGAAGAAGGAACCAGTCTTCTGAATCAGGCTGTAAAATGACTGAGCATTCAAGAGCAAAAAATTAAAGGGATATTTTTTCTTACCTGCCCATTGTTGTAATCAGTAGAACATGAAGGCTTGGCAGTCCTTATTGTCCATTCAGACATTTGGTAGCTTTTGGTGCTTGGGGTTGTTTCCTGTAGGTGACATCGGATCTTGGGCTTCACTCTGGAGTTGGGGACTTTTTTTGCATCCCTTTTCCCCACCATCCTGACCCACCTTGCCTTCTATGTGTCCAAGTTCTCCGTAGGGGATGCCAATTGAGTTCAGCTCTCCCAAAGTGCCCTTTCCTGGAGGGGTTCAGATTTCCTGGGGTCAGATCCCAGCTCCAGGATTTCATAGTTATGTGACCTTGAGCAAATCACTTAAACACACCAAAGCTCAGTTTCTTTTCTGTAAAGTGAGGATAATAAAATTATCTATGATACAGTTATTAAGGGGATTTAATTAGATAATATGTAGACATTACTTAATTTAAAGTCTGGCATACTTAGTGTCAATAAGTTAACTATTAATGGCTAAATTTTAGAAAAAGGACAGTCTATCTAACTGAAACAGTCTGGCCCCTCCTTAAATTATGTGGGGTCAAGGCTACAGTACAAATGGTGTAAATGTTTAAAAAAGATAAGTCAAGCTGTTAATTGAATTTGTCTTCTCCTACATTGACAAATATGGCTTCATAGTGGCAAAATTATTTTAAAAATTGGAAAACTATAGCTTTAAATGACAGAGAGTTGCCATAGTATAAAAAAAAACCCTGCACTTAATTATTATTGTACATGTGCTATTGATGACCCAGAAAAGTCTGAATGAGTGATAAAATAAAGGCATATTTTATGATTTATATATTCCATGCAACTTATTTTTTTGCTTTCATGTCTGAAAAAAACACTATTTATATCATTATAATCAAAATGTACATATAATTTATGTGCCATTAACAATAAGGACATAAAGGATTAAAATTAACATGTAATTATCTTCAAAGAGTATCAAATTTGAATATATTTCCATCAAAATGTAAGTGAAAGTAAATGTAAAAAATAAAAATTGAATATTTTAGAAGAAAATTTATTTTATAAAGCATGAAAAAATCTTATCATAACAATGAATAAGAATTATAAATAAAATTGTTCAAATAAAGCTGCAGCTTTTATTTTACACTTTAAAAATGGAATTAACTCTTAATATTTTTACAAAAATGAAACTTACCCTGGCTGGTGTGTGGATTGAGTGCCAGCCTAAGAACCGAAGGACTGCTGTTTCGATACACAATCAGGGCACATGCCTAGGTTGCAGGCTAGGTCCCCAGTAGGGGGCGCCCAGGGGGCAACCACACATTGATGTTTCTCTCCTCTTTCTCCCTCCCTTCCCCTCTCTCTAAAAATAAATAAATAAAATCTTTAAAAAATAAAAATAAAACTATTTACTCTCTGGTCAGTGTGGCTCAACTGGTTGGAGAGTCTTCCTGTAGACCATTTGAAAGGTTATGAGTTTGACTCCTTGGCCAGGGCACATGCCTTGGTTGTGGGGTTCCATCACTGGTCAGGGCGTGTACAAGAGGCAACTGATCGATGCGCCTCTCTCACATCGATGTTTCTCTCCCTCTCTCCCTCCCTTCCCCTCTCTCTGAAATCAATAAGCATGTCCTCAGGCGAGGAGAAAAACACGCACGCAAACAAACAAACGAATAAACTATTTACAATTCCAGCACTCATTCTTTTAACTCAGTGGCCAGGATAAATAATTAGTATCATACTTCACTCATATTATCCCTAGATTTACAAATATTTATATTTAAGAGTAGTATGAATATTTTGGGGGGAAAGCACAAACGCAGCCCCCCACTACCACAAATTCTGCAGTTGAATTTCCCACACTTGGGGAAAACACAGGGGTTAGCTCACCCAGAATGCAATGGGTGAGTCTCCCCTGGGAAAACAACCTTTGCGATCACGGTATTCCCCTACCATGTAAGTAAAAACTGTCCAGTGTTAGAGTATGTTTCTCAACTGCCCATGTACATTTTTCTGTGATTATGCTAACTCATCGTTACTTTAGAAACTACAACTAGAACACAAAAGGAAGCAAAAGATGCTCAGCATTGGCAGAAATGATACTGTACTATACAAAAATTTATTCAATTCCTGCTGTCTGAGGGGGAAGGAATTGACAAGTTAATCAATTTGCCTTTTCTGTTGCTAAAGGCTCCTGCTACTTAAATCCCCTCTGTCCTCTGAAACAACGTCTATCCCAGGTGTTGCCTGCAACACCCCACAAACTGTCGTGCATTGGGACCCAGTAGCCTTAGTTTTGAGGCCAAAAGGCAAAGTGTGGAAAAGTTTTCCCTGGGGCCTGAGCCTGTTGGTCCCAAGAATGGATGTTTAGTTTAGGATTGGGGTAGAGATGTACCAGTTCTGAGCACCAGGCCCCAAGTGACAGAAGTATAGACATGTTCTTTAATGCACGTCTGTCTGTGTATGTGTGATAATGTGGGGCCCTCTACGGCAGGGACCTCTCTTCTCTGCCCAGGTCTTACAACAATATGAAAAGGAATTGCCTGGATGGTTGACCGATAGGCCATTTGGGGCATTTGCTTAACCCTCAAAGGATTTCTGGGATGAATGGGGTCCCAGAAGGCAATTTTGAACCAAGGATACGTACAATGCCTCTTGCCCTCACTGTTCCTTACTGCCTACCGCACCGCAGAAGAATGGGGCTTTTCAGCAAACCATGCTCATTCTGACTCCGCACTCTAAATGCTTTAGCTAAACAACAGTAGAGTCGCAGTAAGTAACAAAATACTTAGCAAGCAAATGTTTTAATTCTTTCTTTCCTGATTGATAGCAGAGTTTCAGGGAAGTGCTTTGGCAAATAACTTAATAAACACATCAAAATAAAACAGAACTAATGAAAGATGTGCAGAAAATGCCAACCCTATGTTTTTTAATCAGGAAAAAATTACCAAGACACATTGTTCATAAGTGCCTACTAAAAGCCTTTTGAAAGCAAAGGCACTGTTAATGGGCACCCTACTACGGGATGAGCCCTCGAATAAAAATGAAGGTAAGTATAGAATTCCCCCTTTCAAAGAGGAAATGGAGGCACAGAGAGGCTAAGCAGCTTGCACGAAATATAGCTACTAAGTGGCAGGGACAATATGCTGAGCTAGGTTCACCCGTGCCCAGATTCTGATCCGGTGACCACCACGGTGCATCAGCATTAGCAGAAATTCAGTAGGACCCCTGGCTGAGCACCTTCTTTCTGCTTACTCTTCAGGTTCTCCCCAAAGAAAAAGAAGTCTTATTAACACTGCTAATAGTTAGTAAGCATGTGTTAAAGTATTAGGCTGTAAGATGTTGTAAAGCAACATTTATTGACTGCCCTTTCCTATTGGGTAAAAATCTGACCACTCAATTTTGAAGTATTGAATCTTTTTCCTCTAATTACCAAATGTTGAGTTGCTTCCACTTGCTTTCAAAGTTCAGTGAACTTTACAAGGTTTCTACACATTGAAAAAGTGCCAGTAGGGCCTTGAGTACAATTGACCCTTGAATGACATGGGTTTGAATGGCATGGGTCCACCAGTATGTGGATTTTTATTTAATAAATATATACAGCACTGTAAATGTATTTTCACTTCTTTATGTAAGTAAGATGGGGATACATGTTGTAGCGTATAAAGACATTGATAGCATCTTTATGTTTTGTCATTATCTTTATGATTAATAAGATTTTTAACAGCTTTGTTGAGATATTTTTCACACATCATAAAATTCACCCATTTAAAGTATACAGTTGATTAGATTTTTAATATATTCAGAGTTGTGTTACCATCACCACAATCTAATTTTAGAACGTTTTCAACACCCTAGAAGGAAACCCCATACCTATTAGCAGTCACTCCCCATTTCCTCCCATCCGAGCCCCAGGCAAGCACTAATCACTTTCTGTCTCCACATCTACTTAATCTAGATCTTTCATGTAAAAGGAATCATGTAATATGCGACTTTTTTTTGTTACTGGCTTCTTGTACTTAGTGTTCAATAACATTCATGTTATAGCACGTATCGGCATTTCATTATTTTTATGTCCATATAATATCCCATTGTATGGGTACACAATTTATCCACTATTAGACATTTAAGTTTTACCAATTTTTGGTTATGATAAATAATACTGCTATGAAAAGTTGTGTACAAGTTTTTGTGTGAACATATGTTTTTATTTCTCTTGGGTACATATCTATGAGTAGAATTGCCAGATCATGTGGTAGCTCTATATCTAACCTTTTAAGGAATTGCTAGACTGTTTTTCAAAGAAATTGCATGATTTTACATTCCCAACATCAGTGCATGAAGGTTAGTTTCTCTGTTTGCTCACCATCATTTGTCGCCTTCATTTGAGCCATCCTAGTGTAGTGTCTCGTGTGGTTTCAGTGTCCATTTCCCTGATGTCTAATGATCTTTGTTAAAATATCTATTCGAATTCTTTGCCCATTTTTAAGTTGGGTTGTTTGTCTTTTATTATTAAACTGTAAGAGTTCTTTATATTTTGGGATACAAGTCCATTCTCAGATGTATGATCTGCAAATATTTTCTCCCACTCTGTGAATTGTCTTTTCATTATCTTGATAGTGTCCTTCGAAACACAAAATTTTAAACTTTTCATGAAGTCAAATTTATCTAGTTTTCTTCTAGGAACTTTGTAGTCTTAGTTTTTACATTTTGGTCTAATTCATCTTCAATTAATTTTGTGTATGGTGTGAGGTAGGTATACAACTTCATTTGTTTTCTTGTAGATATCTAGTTGTCCCAGATCATTTGTTGAAAAAGATTATTCTTTCTCTCATTAAATTATCTTGTACTCTTTTCAAAAATCAGTTAACCATAATGTGAGAATTTATTGCCAGTCTCCCAGTTCAAGACTTTGGAGCCTTTGCATAAGCAATTCTTTCATAATGAAGTTGCCTTGTCTTCCTACCAGACTTGCCCCTTTATTCTCAAAGACTCTTTATCTTCTCTCCCAGGCATTATGACACCCCTTCCTTGGACCTCATTGTTCTTGTTACATACTTCTATCCTTGACCTTGTCACTCCACAGGGTACTTAAATTTGCCAATTGCCTGTCATTCCAATTACACTGTGCTTCTTGAAGGCAGGGACTACATTTTATCACTCCAGGCCCAAGAATTCAAAGTGTGTTGAATGGATTACTTGGACGCATTTGGTATATGTAAACTATGGATAGAAGAGTAACTAAAATTTTACAATTATTAACCCTGGAAAGCACATCTTTGGGCATGTTTTTAATTCAAACTGAATAGGAGTTTTGACAATTATTGGATTCATTGAAAGGTTTTGGTTTATTAAGAGCCTTGTCAGGCTTTATATATACATATTTTTAAAAAATCATTTGAGGACTTAAATGGATTGGTCAAATAAACCAACGGTTGTCAAAACTTCTCTTTCCTTGGAACTCTACAGAAATTGACTTAGATGCTCATCCAGCCCCATCAAATTCTGTTCTCATTTGTGCTAAAGCTACTTTCCTCAAACCACACTTTGGCTTATCACATTTTCTGACACCTTTGGATCAACAGGTAGAAGATGCTCATGTGTTTCAGATGTTTTTACCCTCACTGTCCTACTTCCTGGCTCAGATCGAAATGTCTTTGGACGGAAGACAATTCAAGAGCTGGCTAACTCTATCGATCCTGCCCAATTTAGACCACTTGCCTTTTTATAGAAGTGAGCATATTACATCAGAGTGAGTGTAATTAAGACTCTAGACTGATGAGTGTATGGTCCTTTCCACAAAATTGCTTAGTTAGGCAGACCTTCCTTCTTTCATGTTCTTCAGTTACCTCAAAGGTCTCTGAGGGTGGGGTTTGGGGTGCATCCCTTTCTTAAAGAAGAAAAACCATATTATCTTTGGCCAAGGACAGTTTTCTACCACAGCATTCACCACACTATTCTTTTATTCTAATGAACAAAACTGACACATATTTCTGATGTAATATGAAGGTTAAGAATCTTCTACTTTGACACTGTTCCACATGTCTGAACTATGCCAAGGGGACTTCAAAGGACTTCATATCACTTTTAAACACAAAGCCACTACAAATGGCTTTGCCTTTGTTTTAGAGCTCAGAGTTCACATGCAAAGCTTGAACAAATTGCTCTTAGTTTGTGAAATCAATAATTCTCTTACCCTCTACTTGAGTCCTAAACTTTTTTTATCAAAGCATTCCTAACTGCTTATTCTACCATCAAAATAGCAAAATTTCAAAGGAGACTATAGAGCTACCATCTATTAGAAACAACAAAAATGAACTACAAAGGTTCACTTAGGAAAACCCAAGTTGAAGAGAGGGGGAGGAAGGGGTTGAGCTGAACTCTCTCCCCCTCCTCCACTGAGGGGCCAGAGCGAGGCCAGCAGCCTTACTCTGATGGAATTTCCTTCAAGTGGAAATATAGAGAGACTCACCATTCCCAAAGTCTTTTTCTGGGAAACAGTAGGCTAACCTCTGAGAAGCAATGTCAGTCCTTACTGCAGACCAGGGGCCTCTAATATGCTCATATGTGTTATCCTAAAGTGAGAACATAATATGTAGTTTTCTCTAAAGGCCTTTGTCCATGGACACAGTCTCTCCAGATCATCTCCTTTCAAGATTAGTGTTCCATGGAACACACTTTGGGAAATGCTGCCTGACAACTTTTATAAGAGTCTAACCTGTGGGTTTGCACATAAATTCACACTCCTTTATCTGTACCTGAAAATCCTTCTCTGAAAGAACAGTTACTTCTCAAAAAGTAGGAATGTTTGTACTGCTTGCGGCATCTGTGGTTTAATTTAGGGAAGTGTTTCCATGCTCTTTGGAGACAGCTAAGCCATGTCCTCCAATATAACTTATCAGTAATAAAGGTGGTATCTTCATTTCCATCTATTGGAATCAATCCTGTGTCTCCCAATTTGTTC